GTTCTTCGATAGCAGCAGGATTTGGGTGACCACCAATGCGTTTGATTTTGAATCCTCTTTCTTATACTACAACTCGTGAGTTTCTATTTACAGGTTTATAGTTTGATCTTCAGGTTTAGGGTTTAGTTAGATTTGATTTCAGGTTCTTGTTTATTAAATTTAGGGGTTGCCGGTTTTTTGGGAAGAAAAAATGTGGGATATGTTCAATGGTGATCGAACATAAGACATATCTTCCAAAATAGGTGGTGGGAGAGAAATAGGAGTGAAAAGTGGTGGTTTCTGGTGGTGATAGGTGGTGATTGACGGTGGTCATAGGTGGTGATAAGTGGTGGTAGCTGAAGTTGAGAAAGCCTTGGGAAGAATTTTGACATTTAATCAATAATGGACATGGTGTTTATATTTAATTAAATATTTTTTAATAGATTAATAATTATAATTAATAAACATATCAAGAAAGAAATAAATAAGGGCAAAAGGGTCTTTTTATGTCCAGAGGGACGAAGCATGCAAGTTTTAAGCAAACGAGGGACGGTCCGAATTAATTTTTGAAAATAGGGACTAAACACGCTTTCTGATATATGCACGAGGGACGATTGATGTAATTTACCCAAAAAATAAAAAAATAAAAATAAAAATTACCGTTTTTTTGAAAAACACGTAACATATTCTAATAAAATATTACATTATAAATATTCTAATGTGATTTTTATAATGTTAGAATATTCTAGTATTCTACTAGATTTGTCAGATATATAAAATATTCCAATATTCTACTAAAGTATTTTTATATTCTACTAGAATATTCAAATATTCAGTAGAATATTTCACAGATATTTAAAAAAAAAAAAAACGGTAATTTTTTTATTTATTTTTTTGGAAAATATAAATGACGAAAATAATATTTAGAAAAAAAATTTCGAAAATTTTCAATTATTTTGCATTTTAAATTTTTTTCTTTTATCAACAAAATAAGTGACTAAAATTGCGTCTCTCCGTGTCACAAAATATAGTTGTTTCACATGAACCTAACCCTATATATATATATATATATATATATATATATATATATATATATAGAGAGAGAGAGAGAGAGAGAGAGTTAGGTTCAAATGTGGATGAACATCTATTGTGCAGACGTGTGGACAGTGCTATTCTGTGAGAATGACAAAGAAAATATGTTGTTTGATACTATGAATACGTTCAATCATACATAACTATTATCATTATCACACATTTTCACTAATTAAATCGTCTATAAGATTATTATAGACTTTTTATTATTATTCTAATTCTGTCAGAATGTGTATTGAGTTGTATTCAGTCAGAATGAAATTGAGTGAAAAACGATTTGTGAAAGCAAAAATGAATAAGAATTTGTGAGAATGAATGAAAATAACGATATTTTTGTAAGATTGTATGTATTCGCATTACTAAACAACTTATTCTCTTAGTAATTCTCATAGAATCGCATTGTCCACACGTCCGCAGAATAATTGTCTATCCACATTATAACCTAGCCCTATATATATATATATATATATATATATATATATATTGTAAAACCTATTCAACTACTAATTACTTAATGATTAATAATCAGTAACGTTAATACAAACTACAAACTAGTAATAAATTTAAAAAATTCAAATTAATATAATAAAAAATAAATAATTAATCTTTAACCATTTTAATTTGGATGATTAAATTTATAAATTTAACATACAATGTCAAAAAGTTTACTTAATAATATACATTATTTAACTAGAATTTTCAAATTAATATATAAAAATTAATATTTATATTTAACAATATACTTTATTTTTCTAATATTTCTTCAAAGAGTTCATGCATTTTTATTATAAATTTGCTAAACTCCGGTTTAACTATAAATACTAAATATATGATATCTATGTAACTAATTGCTCATATAGTTCTTTCGAACATTTAAACACATGAATAAAAAGTTATTTTGAAATCACACACATAACACATCAAAACTAAATATAAAATTGTGTTATATGGAATACGAATAATATACGGCACGAAGTCGAGTAATTTAGACTTGACATGAACATGATACGAACACGAACACGAATTTAAATTTTATTTTCGTTCTAATTTCGTTTCGTGTCATGTATTTTTGTGATATGTGTGTCATCAATTACCACATCTATCCTTTATTAAATAAACATTAAATATATTTTTTCAACATTTTTGCATTCTTTTATTAGACTTTTTAAATATCTTTTTAACATACTTTATCCATAAATCCAACATTTTTTTACAATATTTTTTAAACTTTATTTATAAGTTTAAATATATATTTATAAACTGTTTACTATGTTTTTTAGATTTTTTTCCCCCAAATATAATAAACTTGATTATTTTGTATGAATATGTAAAAAGAAAGTTGTATAAATATTTTTCTTAAACGTATTCGTATTTATTCTTTTTACAGTATTTAAAAACGTTTTATGGATACATTTTTACAGCATTTTAAACGTTGTAAAAATATAAATTTAAAAAAGTGACCATTGAACTATTTTACGTATCAATACAACTTTTCATATTTTCTACAACATTTATAATACTTTCATTTAGAAAAGTGTATGGATATGTAAAATAACTGTAAAACAAGTTTATAACGTTTTAATATTTTTGTAAATAATGTATAATTTTAAAATAAAATTTTTAAAAAGTGACAAGAAGAACCTATAAATGATTGTTAATTCTTTGAGAAAAGAGCCTAACAAAAGTTTTAAAAAGTCTAAATGTTTTTGTAAATAGATAAATTTGGAAAAAAAAAAACAAATCTGCTGTAAATCTGAAGAAAAAAGTTTGTAATTATATTTATAATAAAATTTAAAGTGACCAAATTTGTAAAAAAAATTTAAAATCTAGGTCAAAAGTTTAAAATTTAAATATGACCTATTAAATATGGCATAGTATATTGGAAATTAAATATCCAACAGCCCGTTATCTTTTTGTAATATTTTTTGAGTTTGTTTGTAATTAGAAAACATTTTCAATAGTTTTTTTTTCAACAAAACTGTAAAATTGATTCTTGTGGTAAAATTTTTTGGATAAAGTCCTATGGCATTTTTGTGTGGTTTTGGTCCACACCCTAACTAAAATGACGAATATGCCCTTCATTATTTTTTTTTTTTTAATATTTTCTTAATATTTTAATTAAAAGAAAAACAAAAAAGAAAAATCACACCCACCCCACCCCACCCTACTTCCTACTAACCCACCTACACTCTTTCTATCTTCCCTATCTCTCTCTCTGTGTGTGTATGTCTCTCCCTCTCTCCATTGCTGTCGAACACCACCACTTGCCGGACCACCCCTGCCTGCTGAACACCAGCACCTGCCGAACTACCACCGTTAGAAGACCGCCACCACCACTTGTCGGATCTGCCATGGAAAGCCCCAAAAAATCCCACCTTCTTTCTCTCTGCTCCATCTCTGATCACCATTTATGAGACTAGAGCCGATCTAATCGTCGCCCACTGCCACCAACCGATCTACGAGACCCCTCTTCTTCCATTTTTTCTCGAGTTGCAAGTTTCCAAGGGAAATAGCAGAAAATCTGTGATGGTGATCTATCGCCCTTCTTCTACTTTTATTTTGAATTGAGCCCTTCTTCCACATACACCACCCCTTATTTCCCCTAGCCACCACCATTAGTCCATCCTAACATCGTCGCCCCTATTTGTTCATCACCACCCTGTCATGCTTATTCATCAACGTCACTGATGCTTGTTTATCATAAGGCACACACACAATTTCAGAAATCAATATCAGGTGTTTGTAGTTGTGGGTTTAGACTCAACACACACACACAGACACAATATCGACACTTGCCAATCCTAACAAAACTCACCTGAAAATTAGAAAAGAAATCATTAACAGTAGGCATCGAGCATTTTGTATTCAGAAAAGAAACAATCGACCCACACATTGTTTCCAAATTCATGGTAATCAGGAATTAAAAGCACCAACCGTAGATGTCTTGTCTCATCTGCTAATTTCAACAAAATCACCATTGTTGCAGGTTGGTGTTCTCCATTTGGTAAGGTTTTGAACTCAATCGAGCGTTACAATTACAAATCAGGACATGGAGAAGTCGTAATAGCTTGAATAGACAAAGGGAAAAGTGTTCTAGGTGTTTATGGATTTCTAGAAACAAAGGTTTTGACTGTGATTCTATGGATGTTTCCGGTGGTGGCCAGACAAGATACACTGGCGACGACTAAAGCTCTACCTTTAGTAGCTGGTGTGAAAAATAAAGTGTATGCAAGATTTTACGAACTGAGGGGGGAGCCATAGCCAAAGGAGAATAAACGACGATGGTGTTGGGAGGGATGACATCAGAGAAATGGGGAGAAGGAGAGGTGTGGGGTTGGTGGGCCCTCTCTTATTTTCAATTAGTTAAAACCATTAATATAAATATAAAAATGAAAAATATAATTATAAGGGCATAATTGTCTTTTTAAGTTTATAGGGACCAAAGTCATTAAAAAGATCCAAAATTGGACCACTGGTGCACCACTAAACGTTTTTGGACCAAAATTACATATTTTTGCCAATTACAGGGACCAGTTTTGCAATTTTGTCTAAAAAAAATTTGCCACCAACCACCCCACCATTCTCTCTCCCCCCCTCTCTCTCTCTCTCTCTCACACACACACAGAGTAAAGAAAAACCCACATTCACCTCCCCTACCCGCACTCCCGATCTTCTTCTTCCCACTTCACCTTTAACTTAAATTACACACACATACATACACTTAAATACGTTGCCATTTAACCCTTTCTCTATTCCCGACCAACAATCCCTCTCTTGGTGGTAGTAGATGATTCTGGTGGACTTCCGTCGGTCTTCTGCGTAAACCATAAAAACTTCAGATTACCCTAAAACCATGGGGCAAGGGCTTAGTTACAGAGTACAAGATGATCATGGCTTGTTCACAACAATACAGTTTGGCGATTTGGAAGTTGGCGCTTCCTAAAATATTGTAGTGTTTGACCGATCCTATTGATGGGTGATTTTAATTTTGTATCTTTGATTCATATTTTATCTGAGTTTTGATTATTTCTATGCTTTTGGAGAATCGATCAGTCAATCCTAATTCTTTGTATGGTCATAATCATGTGTGTTATTTGCTCTCATTCTCATTCTCATTCTCATTCTCATTCTCATCGGCTGATTTGAAGTTTCTATAATTTTTCAAATCCTTTTTCTAAATAACAAATTTGAAGTCTGGACCTCTTTAAAACTTCATTACTTCCTTAAGACCATAAATGATTTTGTGCACTTTGATCAAATGGTATCACACTCCGTTGATGTTGGCTGCAAAACATGGGAAGACTGCTAATGTTGAAAAGCTTATTGAAGTCGCCATTACAGTTAACTTGAAGCTTTTCATCGTCATCATCATATTCTTCATGAGAGAGGTGTACGGGTTTCAGTCTGCCCGCCTATGGATATTAATCTATAAAAACCTTAGAGGGAGAGGATTTGAAGGATTTGATTCGATTTTTTTTGTTTTTCAAATGGGTTGTTGGCGTTGAGAATCGAAGTGGGTGATGGTTGTGAGTTTTGCAGGGTTTTGGGGGAGAATAAGCCATTAAAGAACCGTGGTGAAGGAAGGAAAGAAGAAATGGGTTTAGTTGTGTTTTTTGATCCGCCATGATAGACTTGTTTAAGATCTCAAAATTTGTGTTAAAATCGAAAAAAAAGAAAGGTTTTAGTAACTTCCATGGTGATGAAGAAGGATTAAAACCTAAGTGTTTGTGTGAATGTATGTGGGTGGTTGCATTTACAGGTGTAGGGTGAGGAAGGAGAAGGGAGAGAGAGTCAAAGAGAGATGGAGAGAGAATATGGATGTCAACGGGGGCAAACGGGACGGAGAATGCATCCCCCGACCTCGCCCCCGAAATTTCCCCGTTCCCCGTCGACATCCTACCCCCGCCCCCGCCCCCAAATCCCCTTTATTACCCCCACCCCCGAAATTAAAACGGGGTTAACTTTGCCCTTGCCCCCGTTTTTTTTTTAAAGTCCCCCAAACGGGACGGCGTCCCACAGGACTTTTTGACATCCTTAGAGAGAAGGGGAGGGTACGAGTGGAGGGATGGGGTGGGATAGCTAATTCTTTTTTTTTCTTTAATTTTTAATTAATAAATTATTAAAAAATATAAAAAAATAAATAAAAATGGCAAAAACGTCTTTTTAAGTTTTTTTGGACCAAAACCACAATAAAATCTTTATTTTGGACCATCCATGCAAATCGCAAACTTTTTGGACCCTATCCAAAGTTTTTTTTTTAATACAACCAATTTTACAGTTTTGGCTTTTTTTTTTCCCCAAAAGCTATCTAAAACTTAGAGTGGATTTCAACCTTATGTTGCCTCTATGGTAGGTCGTTATTACCGAGTCTTGATATGTGAACATAAAAGAAAAAGCATACAGGCCAACATATTTAAAACAAGAGTGACATTGATTAAATAGCAAATTAAAAAATATTAAAAAGAAAACTGAGAGTTATTGATGGCCCTAATAATAAGCAACATATCTACCACAAAAGAAATATAATTGTTGTATAAATGCTAATATACTCAGATTCATGAATATTGATAATAAATTTTATGAAATCTTGAATTTATATATGTGTATGTTACTATTTTTAACATTTGTACAATTCACCAGTACGATTTCGAGTTTTTTCTTTTAAGAACACAAAATATATAAAGTTTGTTGTGGAAGAAAAGAAGGAATTTGCAAGCAGCTTACCACTGGAATATCCCCGAGGAGGGTCAATGAAGATGAACTTTGAACCAGAGAGTTTGCTCTCTAGGTCACCAAGAGCAGTAACAAGCTTGGCATTGAATTGTATAATAGCTCCATTTACAGCATCCACACATGTATTTGTGTTAAACCTCTTCATCATTGCTGGTGTACAACCTATGTATCCAGCTCCAGGTATCCCAAACTTTCTTGCTCCATATTTGTACAGTTTCTGAATATATGCAAATTAAACAAACATTAGCTTATATATAAAAAAAATATTCTGGGACTAAGAATTTAGGTACTGACAGATAGCTGTTTGGAATATTGTTTAATGAGGATTTTGGCATACTGCTCTGGCGTGTATAAGATGCTTGTTTGATAGTATTTTGAATAAAAGTAATTGTTAATGTAGTCGTTATTGCCCATTGCAACGGTGTATATGCATTTGTTGAGGTGTTGTCGAACTGTGGCTAAACTCCCATTACCAATCAAGTTGACTAGTCGCAAAATTGTGATTGCATGATTTGTTAGTTGCCGATTCATGCATATCCTACCACCCTGTCATCGAATTATAGTTACCATTTGGTTAATTAAACAATCCAATGCATTGTATTTTTCATTCATGTATCTTCTGGCATGCTTAAATCTTATTAGCATCAGTATTTGATATAGCAAAGCAATTAGGCTAGTCAATTAGGTGGATTTTTGTAATTAATGTAAGACTTACATTCAGACGTTAGTTTGTATAACATGAAACATAAAAATTTGAAACAGAGATATGCATGCATGGATTTTTGTAGGAAGGCATGCATAATGTAAAATTATATAATGAAAATATACCATGTGTTCCGCGGTTTCATCACGAATTCCAGCAGCACCTGATGCATAATTTACCCCTCGAACGATTTCTTCACGTCTTGCTGTTGCAAAAGGTGGAATGGAGTTTTCAAAACCTAGTAGTTGAGCTGGGAAGAACAAAATAAAAATAATTAAGTTGAAGTTTTAACATTTAAAATTATAGATTCTTGATTTCTTAGAACCATGACTATTTTAGAAAATAATCCAGAAAGAGACCTACAACGTCCGCAGTATTTCGACCATTTGAAAATCTCCCGGTAGTACCATCGGGAAAGTCAATTCCATATGGTGGGTAATTGGCTTTTGCCGTCGTAACCAGGTGGTTGTTATTTCCATTATCCATTGATGAGTCACCAAATACGAAATAACAAGGTACCTGAGGAGCGCTACGCACAAAGCATAATAGTGTTGCTGAAAATACCATCAAAATCAAAGCTTGAACAAAAGCGCTCATTTTCCTTCTCTTTGGGTTATAAAAAAGTAATTGATGGTTTCTTTTGAATGTCAAAATGAATAGACGTTGATGAAGTACTTATAGAAAATATCTAGTTTGCATTATGAGTGTGACCTTATCAATAAGTTGATATGTACGTAGAGCCCCCATCCATATAATATGTAGCATTCGCATGTGATCTTTCTTTGTTTTGTAGCAGCCTTACTGTTTCTCTAGTTCGTCCTTTTGAGATCATTGCTTCTTAAGAACCACATATATTGTATCCAAAATCTTTCTCACATTCAGCATGATATCCATTTAGCCAAACATGTTAATTTAATGTGTCAAATACTTATTGATTTTAACTTTTTTGACTATATGGCAACTGTATCGATTTAAACATCATTCATGTACCAAACCTGTTACTTGGGATACTTACCATGATACATAGGGGGGGGGGGGGGGAGGGCACTACTAGAAAAAATGAAAATATATACGAAAATTTCCTATGGAAATATTCCGTCGGAGAATACCGACGGAATGCCTACGGAATTCCGACAGAAAACGATGCCCTAAATTACTGACGATATTGTGACGGAACACCTACAGAATACCGACGGACGACATATCCGTCGGAAATTCGTCGGTAAATATCGACGGAATAGCTACGGAACTTACAAAAAGACTTTGTTTATTTTCCGTCACAAATCCGTCGCTAAACAACAATTTAGTAATTTATTATTATTATTATTATTATTATTATTATTATTATTATTATTATTATTATTATTTCCATTATTATTTTCGTTGTTGTTATTATTATTATTATTATTGATATCCTTATTATTATATTTATTATTATTTCCATTATTATCATTGTTTCCATTATTATTATTATTATTATTATTGTTATTATTATTATTATTATTGTTGTTTAACGTCACCGTCCATCGGGTAGTAAGAATCAATCTCATATCTAGGCCACTTCCCTTCTGCACATGCTGACCAATATTAGCCTCTCCCATGTTGTAAGTTATGTCAGCAACACTCATAATAGTTTTCTGTTTTGCCAAAGCTTGGTGAATGTTTACCATGATGCCTTCCTTTCTATCTTCCACCACCTCGGATGAACAAGAAATCAGAGTCGTGGAGTGACACGACGAGGATGGCCGACCAGGCGCAACCTGTATCAATGACATAACACCAGAAGTCGACGAATCCTCCACTTGCACCTCATATAGCTCGGTTGGGAGTGCGAGACGATCAAGCCTACACATCGGTGGTAGATGCTCAAGAAAATCAACTTCTTGAAATTCCAGCTTCCCTAAACTTCTTTTGGAGGACTTCTTCAAAACGCAGAGGGGAGTTAATGCCTTTAACCAAGGAAAATAATCCTCAGTTACTCATCAATTAAACCTCCTATCAACATCAATTCTCTAGCTAAACAAAAAAAGGGAGGAGGAGAAAGGAATAAAAGAATGACGTACCATTTACGACAGTAAAGAACATGTGCATTTTCCTCCTAGCACGCCATGAAGAACTCATCCCCAGCTCTAGCCAATATTCATGTAGGATACTCATCTGGTACGACCCACATGTTGTTCAAAAGCCATGCCACCTCTTTGTTATGAGGCAAAAACTTCGGAGTCGCCTCAAAAAAACCTCCTAAATGGAAATAACCATGACCACCTCGGGAAACGTCCACCCACGACCACTTACCAGTTCTTAGAGGTCTTGCCATCATAAAACCATGTCTACCCCGACGAGTAGAGAAAGGTAATGTTTAGAGCATTACCGCTTGACCCAATCACAAGATTTGACACAAAGAAGAACAGAATCACCCAATCAACACATCCAACCATTGTCGGATCTGAAACCTTTGTCTCCCGTATGGACTAGCTGTGAGGCCAGACAATAAAAAGTCTCCCTTTTCCAACCCTTTTCCGCCATAAAAGCTAAGTTCTCTCACTCCCATACTCTCGCTAGAACTTCTCTCTCAAGTCATTAACTTGACCATCGAAGCGTTTTCCCATGATCCCCTCTCGGATAACAGTTGATGGCTTTTCTCTCTTGTATGATCTCAAATCAACATTATAGCAACAGTAAAAAAGGTCTCCCGAAGATTTGAGTCATATCACACACACACACACATACACAC